TTTGATTCTACATTATCTTTCACATACAGTGCCACTCCGCCACCCACCCGGCCTGCTCTATCCTTTCTATATATTTTATATCCTGGTATGATTGTTTCCCACAGATTTTCCTCATTCCACCAGGTTTCAGTGATGCCTATTATGTCAATCTCCTCATTTAATATGAGGTACTCTAGTTCACCCATCTTATTAGTCAGACTCCTAGCATTTGTATACAAGCACTTTAAAAATTTGCCACTGCTTATTTGTCTGCCCTTCCCTGATGCATTGGATTCCTTTGTATGCGGTTGTTTGTCTGCTCTGGCCCATGGTTTGTCCTCTCCCCTCCTCTCTTTCTGACTACAGCTTAGAGAATCTCTATTGATGGATTCTCCTCTAAGAGAAGTCTCCCTCCGATTTACGTGCATCTCCGCACCAGTAGGCTTTCCCCCATCTCTTAGTTTAAAAACTGCTCTACGGCAGATGCCCATGGACCATCTGACGTTCTGGGGACACGCTCCAGCAAACGGCAGCCGAGCTGAAGGTGTGGTTGGCAGCCTCGACCTGCGCCCCCTGGAACAAGCACGCTGCGGCTGAACGCCCGCCCGTCTGCCCGCTGGCAGAGAGAGGTGCAGCTGGAAGCGCAGCTGTTCCAGCCATTTGAGCTCCCCAAGGGAGTGTGTGTCCTGGCAATCACAGGAGCATGGCCCGGGCAGTCCTCCCTCCGCCAACACCCACCAGTGAGGGAGGAGCAGGCTTTGCCCATTTGCAGGAAGGAACTTCTCTGAGAGTCTGACGGTCACCAACAGTGCCCACTAGCGCCCACTTCCAGCTGGGCCAGACGTGCCACGGGAAGGGAAGTTCTCCAGGGACTGCCGAGCGCCCTGGAAGCAGGAGGCATCCGAGCCCCCCGGCCTGAGGCGGCTCCACCAAGGAGCCACGCTCAGTCACCCGAAAGCGCGTTTTGTGGGTGTTCACACGACCGGCCGCTTCGCTTCAAGAGTCACAAGGCAAATCCAGGACACCCCGAGCCAAGCGAAGGAGCCCACCAACGAGCTGGCTGCTTCCAGACCCCGGCAAGGAAACCCCAGCGCTGCATGCAGCCCGTGAGCTTCCGAGGGAGGCGGGAAGAGGGCGGGCTGGGTACCTCCGGACTGGCTCCTGGGCACCCGATGCCAGTCCCATCGCCCAGCCCCTGGGACTGGCCTGAGGTAAATGCACGCACAAACCCGCTCCCGGGGCTGGCCAACACACCCCTGCCCATCGAACAAGGGCGGCCCTGCCGGGAGGCCGCTCCACCTCCAGAGGCAGCGAGAGCTCGAGGACCGGTCCAGCCCCAGGGCAAGCGCGGGTCTGTGCTTGGCCCTTGAGCCGGGCCCTCTGAGCCCCTCCCGTTCATGGGCTCTGTGTTTTCTACCTAGCCTGGGAACAGGAGGTGCCGGCGCGGCTCCGCCTGCAGCTGAATTCCGCCCCCTCCCCAGCTGGGAACCCAGAGCCAGCCGCATGTGCCAGCTCAGACCAGAGCCAGACAAAGCGATGCCTTTGGCCTGCCACCCGGATCGCCGGTCCCGAGAGCTCGGCTGAAGCTAGTCACAGCCCCTCCCGCTGCCCGGCTGGCTCCGGGCTTTCCCCCCCTGGGGAGAGGGAGGCAGCGCCCGCCTTTATCTGCTTCATCGGAGGAGACATCGGCACCGCGGGGCCCCGTTCGGGCTGCTGGCGAAGGGGACGCTCTAGTTACTGGATCTGCGGGACAGGCTGACCCAGCCCCTCTTCTGCCAGGAGACTGTCCCCCTCCTCGGCCCGGGACAGCACGCCCTCCAGGGCACTTACCATCCTCCGTCTCCTGCCAGACGATGCCCTCCAGGTTGACGCTGGTGCCGGGTTCACAAGGGCCCAGACACTCGGGCTCGGTAGCCAGCGCCACGTCGCAGGTGTTCACCCCCACGGAGCGCGTGCGGACCATGATCTGCTCGCAGGGGGACGCAATGTCGTTATTGACAACGGGCACCAGGAGGTGCAAGGGCAGCACTGCAGGCGTGGAGACCGGAGACTCCATCTGCGGGGAAGGAGAAACACACCAGTGAGCACCCAGAGAGCCCCGAGAAGAAAGCAAACACCAGCCCCTCCCTCTTCCCCGGAGAACCCTCCTGCCCCGGCCCCCGCGGCCTGTTTGCTCTGAGACGCCTCTCGGCCTGCCTGGTCCCCGCAGAGCCCTAGGACCTCGCAGGCCTCTTCCAGCCCCGAGATGCTGGAGACTCCAGGGCTCGGCCAGGGCACCAGGCCCCACCTGTG